GATATCTATAATACCGAGCCTAAGGGTTAACAACTCATGGCTTCTGGATACTAAAACAAACAAACAGCTATGCATGTTGTAAGGATAGGAATGTTCCTCACGAGAAGACAGTCTGACAAACATAGCAACAGGTCCGAATTCATTAAGCACTACTCAGAAAGGTCAAGAGGAGTAGAACAGTTGTTATGTGCATTAACTTGTTAATCCTTGGCACTTGATAGTACCTCTTTGTCAAGTCAAATTTTGAAAATATGGTGACATATGTCATTGTTGATAGTAGGTCATCTCGTCAGAATCTTACAATCGACATTGAAAATATGTTAAAGAAACTCAAATGAGCCTTGACACGAGACTGCGAGTCTATCACCAGTAGCTGGTAGCAAAACAAACATCTCTTTATTTGGTTTGAGAGTTATGTTTTTCGAATTCCTTTTCGCACAGCTCCTATACTGAGCAACAGACGTTTGAAAGGCCTCTCTTGCAATGATGCAAGACCTCATGATTGTATCTCTTAGTTTGTAACTGTCACGTAACAAATTTGAATGTACCTCTGAATTGCCGCTTGCAATTTGGACAACAGTAATAATAGAGGGGAGTTTATTTGAATTAATCCTGAACAGCTTTCAATTTAACGGCAAAAAAAACAAAAACAAAAACTGTGATTGCTGACAGACTCGCAAAAAAAATTTAATCCTGCAGTTGAAGAAGCGGGAAGGATACATGTTGGCAATCTATAAATTGGCAGGGAGGTATTTTAAAGATCAGAAGGGACCAGACCTTAATGCTAGTTTGAGATTGCAATGAAAGAAAAGAACCCTACATTGCCTATAAAGCAGCCTGCTATAGATGAGAGGAACTTATATATATATATATATATATATATATATATATATATATATATATATATATATATATATATATATATATATAATTGTGGAATTATTAATGCAGTGATGTGAGAACACATTTCTAGCGGTCGAAACGAAAGAGATAGACATTTCGATGGAATGCCAGCAGACAACCCGGATATATGAAAGGGTAAACCGAAGTTTGCTTAGGAGAAAGTCTCATGCAATGTTGCATTTTCAATATGTGGAATGGAACGCAAAAGTATGCATTTGCTAATGTGTAAGATGTCTCCGTGGACATCTATTTGGAGATTAATATGCATTGATCTTGTATATCAAATGCACCGTTCTGGAATAAAATGGCTTGGGTAGCCCATTACTCATATATTATTGTGAACACGGGATAGTGTTTACATATTGTGTCATTTTGTTTCAGTTGTTGTTCAATTGTTTATTGCATGAGCACAAGATGAGTGTGCATGGGTAATTTCATGAATGCATGTATATAACATATGCTTTGTCTATCAAATCTTTTGTGAGCTGTGCTGTAGTTATTCAGTACATGTGTGAAGAAGATGTTCATGTTATAGGTGAATTTGTATACCTGAAGTTAGGGAACAATTCTCTTGCTTGAGTTCAGATTCATGTGTTGATTACATATTTATGGATAGGACATGAGACACCCTGTCTTGATAGCGCAGGAGATATGATGTGGTGTGAAAAGCTTATATGTAACTCTTTATTCAAGTGGAATGGATGGATTTTTACGATCACTCCTAAAGGGGTGTGTGGAATCACTATCGTTTTTTCTTCTTCTGTTGAATGATATTAGCTGGTGTGAGGAACGATGGCATCAAATAAATATGTATTTGCAGACTTAGAACTAGCTGAGATATCAGCAATATATGATGTATGTATTATAATATTATATTTTTTACCGTATGTTTGATTATAAATATAACACCTTTTAATGGGATATTTGGGTTGATTTAGGGAAATTTTGTTTGAGGGTCTAGTCATAGGGGATGATTACCTTCCATCATTAATGGATACTCTGTACACCTATTACGGTATATCTGGAGATTCGGGTCTATCAAGAGATAACTGGAAGGGTCTATCCAACTGGGAAAGTCCTACTAGCGAATGTATTGATACTAGTCTACACCTTAGAAGGAACTGAATGGGCAGTCTGAGGGATAAGTCACTATGTTTAAATCAAGAGAAGAACAGAGCCTGATCCCATTGGCTGATGACTTTAACTCTGTGAGTCCCAAGGAACGCATCATACGCTCATCGGTTACTACCTGAAGCCCAGTTAACGCGTGATATGTCAGTTTTAGTCTCTCGTCACTATCCCTTGAGCCTGTTGTGCTATACTCCCTGGGACTCAAAGAGTTATTGCTGATATTTCATCTGGCTATTTCTGCTGGTGTTGTACAATTTCCAATCCGATACAGGATAAGAGCGAACCACCAACCTGAACCGGTTGAGTATCCATCTAACAGTAGATCGCCGATCATGAACATTCATTTAAAATTGGCCATGTACTTGTCAAATGGCTTATACATCCCGTAGGATTATAAACTATAGTTCAATGGCACTACATTAGCTTGTTGGTCCTGATATTGTTGTGGATTAATATATGTTGTTTGTGTTTGAGCAATAACAATTTAAAATGGTATCTTCAGTCTTACATTTTACCCATCAGTATGTATTGCGGTTATAGAAGAATAATTTTCCATCTTTACTGTGAAACACAGGTAGGGCTTTATAAATTGTGGGTTGAGCCTGTTGTACAAACTCCCTGGGACTCAGAGAGTTAATGCTAATATTTCATCTGGCTATTTTTGCTGGTGTTGTACAATTTCCAATCTGATACAGGATAAGAGTTAACCACCAACCTGAACCGTTTGAGTATCCATCTAACAGTAGATTGCTGATCATGAACATTCATTTAAAATTGGCTATGTTTTTGTCGAATGGCTTACACATCCCGTAAGATTATAAACTATAGTTCAATGGCACTACATTAGCTTGTTGACCTTGATATTGTTGTGCATTAATATATGTTGTTGGAGTTTGAGCAATACAATTTGAAATGTTACCTTTAATCTTACACTTTACTCATCAGTATGTATTGTAGTTATAAAAAAATAATTCTCTATCTTTACTGTGAAACACAGGTGGGAGCTTTATAAACTGTCGGTTGTTCTTTAGCTAAATATTTCAAATGTGTCCACATTTCTATTGCTGTGGGGCTCACTCACCATCAAGTTTCTACAACAAGAATTGTTGTCTGCCTATTTTATATTATCCTGGGACAAAACCTCTACGATCCGGAGAACAACATCCAGGATTTGTCAGACCGTCTGCTTTGGTTTGGTCTGTAAGCATTTTTGGCAAAAACTTTGCACAAACGTTTCGCATGCCCAATTCCTGAGTCAAAATTTCATAAGCTTGCATTTTGGGGAAGTTTAGTTCCTACGCGACTATTCGCACACTCTTTCATCGATGACTGTTCAGACTGCCCCGCACACAGTCCACCTTTGCCTTTGTTTTGTTGGTAGTAGGTCGACCCATCCGTCTCTCGTCCTCAACATTTTATCAATCCACCTTAAAGACATAATGCAAGTTTATACACCATCGGTCGACTCAAACACTCATTGCCGTTTGATGTCTTTATCATTTCTAACGTCTATGTCCTGGACGCAAACACCAATTGGCTAATGTTGTTGGATACAACGTTCCATTTTTTTCAGGACACCTGGTTCGTACATGGATTCACTTCTTCCACGATCCGCACGCTCTAACTCCTTGTCGACAACTGGGACTGGTTGAAATGCGTAGCTAACATTCCCACCAGCCAACCCAGCCACAGATTTCCACACCCACGGTATATGCGCGTTACTACAGAGCTTGCCCAAATACTTGAATTAAAAAAAAACCCGTATAGTGGTCATTATAACAACCACAACAACAAAATGAATGAAGCAGATTGTGAAAGTGTACCTAGTTGATTATAAACTTGATTTTTATCATTCCTAGAGAAATTGCTTTTGCGTGCATATCTGTTTTACGATTTAGCTTATTTGTGAGCAGACTGCTAGCTTTCTCGCCTCTCTGGCAAATGCAAAACTACAAAGGAAACTACCTTTTTTTTTTAAGTCGACAAACGTGCATCACCGTACTAGTCCGTCACTCGCCGATGAATTTTTGAAGGTTTAACCCCTTAACTGAATAAAAAAAAAAAAAAACGGTGATCTTCTTTGGTACATGTCAAAAGTGAGGCGTCCATCATACTGACGTCACCGCGTTTGTCTGCAGTGTGAAATCACATGCGCTCAACACTCTTATTAACAATAACATAGCACAGTTGGTTAAACCGGACTCCTTATGGTCAGGGTTCACCCCCAAGGGTAGGCAGAAAAAGCCACATTTCTCCCAGATTTACGGTATCTATCATGGGGTCAAGGCCGAATTGTTGCAATATCCGTAGTACCGAGCCAACGGGTTAATAACTCGCTGTTTTTGAATGCTTAAATTTTTTTTTTTTTTTCAAATGAACAATAACACGTTACAAAACAATGGCATAGCTATTGCAATTAGAAATATTCTTTCGGAAATACCTTCTTAGGTTTTTGATCGGGGCTCGGGATGAAGCGATGCTGAACTCACATGGTGGTGCACTGCAACCAGGGCTCACGCTGATCAAGACGTGACTGCAGCTTTCTTCTCTGGTGCAGTGGTCAGTTCGTTTCAGTTGGTCGTAAGCACATTTCGCAAGACGCTTGGTTCGGTTAACGGGTTCATTTTGTTTAGGGATATCATTTAGGAACATCGCTGAAGATAATGATTAGGTGCTTTGTGCAACGCTTCAGAAAGTTTGCTGTCCTTTTAGCGGAGACCGAGCTGTATGAGATATTTCCGGGGAAATAAAGTCGATCATCTAGACTTTAACTGTTACATAGTTCTATGTCTTTGATGATTATTGACAGTAATATTTCTCTAATACTTTGGTGACTTATTTTTTATTAGTATTACTTTCTGATACTTTTGGTATCCACAAACTGATAAACGTGGAGTTTTCTGTCTTTTTATTTGCTCGCTTTGACAATAGTCCTCTGTTAATTCATATCAAATACGTTTAGGTCATCATCCTTTATGGTTTGAAATTCGACACCAGCTTGTAACAGTTTTTCTGGAGCTCTTTCTACCACCGATGTATATTACAAAGTCCCCGACACAATTAACACAAATGATCAAGTCCTGAACACACACGAGCACTTTCTGCATTGCAAAATCCTTATCTATCGGTGGTGTATTTGCGATAAAGGCAACGACAAATGTAGATCCGCTACACAAAATAAACAGGATACAAATACTGAGGAGGGTTTTTGTTGTTTTTGATATTAATGTTTTAGCTGGCAATTTTACTTGATTGGATACTAATTGCTTACGTCTGTTGGTTATCACTATGACTCGAAGTCCAATAACTACACACCCAACGGTCACCAGGCAAATTTGAATTATTCCTGTCATGTAATTAGTAATATTGTGTATGAGCTGATACAGGCCGCTTCTAATGTCCTGTAGATATATCTCCGTTGTCAGAAACACGCCAATGTAAGAACCACCTTTGACAGCAAACTGTTTGAACTGTATGCATAAAATATACACGTACAGAAAATGAATTCCGTTTACAATATAAAGACATAAAACTACGATTAGTGAGCGCCGTCGGGTCAATATTATATATACCTTGAGAGGGATAAAGATTGCTAAGACCCTTTCAGCCGTAATCAAAGATGGTAGGATCATTACGGTCTGGAGTCCCATATGGCGGAAACATAACAACACCATATATAATATATAAAACAAATAATTGATATTGTAAGATATCATAAATACGCTTGGGTTACCTTGATCGTAAATGAACATAAATATGTTATTAAGGCCCGTGAGAAATAAAACATCAGAGATAGATAAAGCCAGGAGAAGTATATTGGAACATTTCCTAAATCCCCGTCGAGTCAGTATGACAATGCTGGCCACATTCCCGACTATACCAACAATGCTGACACAGGGGATTAGTGCTTGGCGAAAGGCTACGTAGATGGCAAGGGTGAGTTCCTGGCTCAGAAGGAAGGCCTGTGCCCCATTATGTCTCTCTGTTGACATCACACTTGTGTTAGACCACATCTTTGTTGTTGGAAATGTTCTATGTTAGAAAAGCATTCATAGGTTTTGATCGGCACATCGAACGCTAACCAGGTCAATATATGCCTACATAAGTCAGATGTGTCTGCTGAAACTCGCAAATATCCTAGCCAAGCCGCCAACGGGCGCAACGCAAATATATCTTCGGATAAACGCAGAATAAGGAGATTCGATACACGAGACGCAGATGTTCTGAACAGCTGAACGTCTGGCGGCGCAGTAACACAAGGGCTAATACTTGTCAAGACATAACTACACCTCGAATCCTAGAAACAGGTTCCTAGCTGGGAACCTTTGCCAACTTGCATGGGATCTCTGTTTCCTCCAGAGATGCATTAGAAGCAAGGAAGCAAAAAGCTGCACACAAAATAAATTAAATTTGTAAAACGCACCCCTTGCAACACTTTAGGTATGGAACTAGATATAACTACTGAGGCCTAATGGCGCTGCCCGGGCAAAATTTGGAGTTACAAATCTACCCAAACTATATCAGGATCTTCACCGGTGCTACAGAGTTCGTGCACTTAGCTGAGGTACTTCGAACTCAGGCTAGAGTTAGCAGTAGAACGGAGCATTTTGGGTTTACTACCCTTGTGCCATGACGTTGATCCGTTGGATTAACCAAGCCAATAAGTCTAGAAGTAGACGAAGAACGAGAACGTCACCCTGGATTTTCTGGTCAACGCAGAGAAGAAGATATTGGTGATAATGAAGGAAGGAAAGAGAAATATAGATAAAAGTACACACTTTTATTTCTCACTGAAGTGGGGTATTGGTAATTATGTCTGTCTACAGCAGAGTTTTCCAAACCGAGTGCCGCGATACATAAGTGTCGGTTTCAGCAGAAAGGTGTATCGCTCGACCATAAACCGTCACACTTTTTATGTATGCCCCTGTAACACGTATAAGGGTACGTTTAACCTCTTGTGTCACTAGACGGAATTACTGTGTCGTAAAATAATGTTATTCAAAAAAAGTGTGTTACCAACATAAGAAAAAAAAATGTCAGAAGCTCTGTTCAACGCAACGCAAATATATCTTCGGATAAACGCAGAATAAGGAGATTCGATATTCGATACACGAGACGCAGATGTTCTGAACAGCTGAACGTCTGGCGGCGCAGTAACACAAGGGCTAATACTTGTCAAGACATAACTACACCTCGAATCCTAGAAACAGGTTCCTAGCTGGGAACCTTTGCCAACTTGCATGGGATCTCTGTTTCCTCCAGAGATGCATTAGAAGCAAGGAAGCAAAAAGCTGCACACAAAATAAATTAAATTTGTAAAACGCACCCCTTGCAACACTTTAGGTATGGAACTAGATATAACTACTGAGGCCTAATGGCGCTGCCCGGGCAAAATTTGGAGTTACAAATCTACCCAAACTATATCAGGATCTTCACCGGTGCTACAGAGTTCGTGCACTTAGCTGAGGTACTTCGAACTCAGGCTAGAGTTAGCAGTAGAACGGAGCATTTAGGGGTTACTACCCTTGTGCCATGACGTTGATCCGTTGGATTAACCAAGCCAATAAGTCTAGAAGTAGACGAAGAACGAGAACGTCACCCTGGATTTTCTGGTCAACGCAGAGAAGAAGATATTGGTGATAATGAAGGAAGGAAAGAGAAATATAGATAAAAGTACACACTTTTATTTCTCACTGAAGTGGGGTATTGGTAATTATGTCTGTCTACAGCAGAGTTTTCCAAACCGAGTGCCGCGATACATAAGTGTCGGTTTCAGCAGAAAAGTGTATCGCTCGACCATAAACCGTCAAATTTTTATGTATGCGCCTGTAACACGTATAAGGGTACGTTTAACCTCTTGTGTGTCACTAGACGGAATTACTGTTTCGCGAAACAATGTTATTCAAAAAAAGTGTGTTACCAACATAAGAAAAAAAAAATGTCAGAAGCTCTGTTCAACGCCTTCTGTCTCATGCATTGCCACATTTTGTATACACGTGTTCTTTGGTGTAAGTAAAGCAAACGACCTGTCTCATACTGGACCACATTTTTTGATACACGTGTTCTTGCGTTGAGAGACGAAGCGTACACAGTAAGAGTATCCGCCGTTGAAGTAGGTAGGCGCAAGAGGTATCGTTTCCACTTCACTCTACAATGTGATTAACCAACTAGGCTTACGAGGTAATGAGCGCAAACGGACACTTAAACAACTGGGCGAGGTTGGTGAGAGGGCCTCGAGCTGGTTCTGGACACACCGGAACATCGTGGGGGACGGGCCTCGGTGAGCTGGTGCGCGTGTCTAGTGGAAAAGAATGTCTTATCCCTTAAAGTCCATCGTGTCCGAATTGTCTGCCAGTGTCCCTCTGCCACCTGCCAACAAAGTCCAACATGTGTCCGATTAACCAAACGTGAGCTTGTCACTCGGTCGTCCAGGTATGCAGACTGCTTTAATTAAGCTACCGCAACGACTTCTTATCTCACAGTACCTTTTGCGAAGTCATCAATTCGTCTTGTCCCTGTCCGAATAACATCCGGTAATACGTGCAGGAGAAACCAACCCTGAACCTCATGAACTCAGATGGGCCCACTCTGAAAATATCTAGGAGCTCATGGGCCGAAACATTTGACGACGAGAGATTACTTCTACTGATGATTGGTAGACTCCTGCTGTACATGTTCCCCTGTGGAGTTTCTTCTTATTATAAGCAAACGACCTATCTCATTTATTGCCCCATTTTTTATTCACATGTTATTGCGTGTAAGTAAGCAACCTGTTTCATGTTTTTGGTATATCTGGCGAATGGCAGTAGAGCAATATGTATGTAGAAACGTCGGCATATAATGGGTAATGGGCCCATTTACAATTTTTCTGTGATACTATCGGGGCTGAAACTATGTACTGACTGCTTAAGATGTGGATTGAGCGCTTATGACAATGTCCCGAGTCTTATGATATCAATTTCTAATTCAAATCAGTTCATAGCTACCATGTAGTAGCTAGTTTCATTTGTGACTACTGTATTTAACTTACACTCATGTATAGCCAAAGAGAGCTAGATTTATTTATAACTATTTAATTATAGTTCGTTGGTATCTACAAAGGAAAGAAATGCTAGCTGCAATTGTGCTGCTAATTTTTTCTTATAACAAAGGGGCTTTTTTGTGATGATATTTCGTGTTAGAAGACAACGAGGAAAATTTACTTAGACAAATTCACACAAGCCGGTGGTTGGAAAAAAAAAAACTAGGTGAATTGTCTTAAACACAGTTAAAAACCTTTGCCGGAGATGTTCGCTTCGAATAATGTTTAATTTTCCGTGACAACTTGGTTTGCCGAATGATTGTTAATTGATTGTTAACCCTTTGCTACCGCAAATTGCTTCTTTGTGATTACATTCAGCTCAACGCTTAGCGTGAAGTAAAGTAAAGGAATGATTTATATCACTTATGCGTTCCTTTAATGTAAAATGATTTATAATTTTACGTTATAATGTTGTTTCAAGTCTGCCAGCTTGTTATATTTTTAACTTCCATAATTTATAATCGTGTACCTTTTTACTTGTTCCAGATTTTAACAGTAAAATTTAAGGAATGATAGCTGATGAGTAAATTTTGTCTGTAACTTGTTTTTAATTCCAATTAAAATTGGTTCATATTCCGGTTTTCGAAACCCTCAATGTTGATTAGTTCACGAATGGAAAATCTTTTTAGATAAAGACAAATTGGCTTAGCAGGCTTGAAGTGTGCTTAGCTCTCCACTAAAGTGTGCTTAGCTCTCCACTAAAGTGTTCTTAGCTCTCCACTAAAGTGTTCTTAGCTCTCCACTAAAGTGTGCTTAGCTCTCCACTAAAGTGTGCTTAGCTCTCCACTAAAGTGTGCTTAGCTCTCCACTAAAGTGTGCTTAGCTCTCCACTAAAGTGGGCGTAATCTGCAATTAAAAAGCGCGCGCCCCAGAAACAAACGTGTGGTTTCTTTGGCTATTACTGAAGTATGTGCTTTTAAGGTAAAACAAAAAGTAAAGGACCCTTTTCTCCACCTTTTATGCCTATTGGGTATATAGGGCTAGACATATATTTTATAGACAAAACAGCGCTTGGTGGGTGATGTGGTCAGCATCAAGCCGGCTGTCTTTACTTCTATATACCTTTAGGAAAAAACTCCACAGGGGAGCATGTACAGCAGGGATCTACCAATCATCAGTAGAAGTAATCTCTCATCGACAAACGTTTCGGCCCACTATTTCCTAGACGCTTTCAGAGAGTGGGCCCACCTGAGTTCATGAAGCTCAGGGTTGGTTTTCCCTGCTGCACGATTTACCAGATGGTGTTCGGATAGGAACAAGACGACTTGGTGATTTGCAGAGCGTACTGTGAGATAAGAAGTAGTCGCGGTAGCATAATTAGTGCAGTCTGCATACCTTAACGACCGAGCGACAAGCTTACGATTGGTATACAGGACACATGTTGGACTTTTATTAGCAGGTGGCAGAGGTACACTGGCAGACAATTCGGACGCGATGGACTTTCAAGGGATAAGAAACTCTTTTCCCCTAGGCACCCGGACCAGCTCACCGAGGCCCGTCCCCTACGTTGTTCCGTTGCGTCCAAAGCCAGCTCGAGGCCCTCTCAGCAACCTCGCCCAGCCGCTTAAGTGTCCGTTTCCGTTCATTACTGTGCAATCCTAGTTCTTTAACCACATTGTAGAGAGAAGTGGAGACGAGACCTCTCGCTCCCACTTCGACGGCAAAGACACGTACTGTGTACGCCTCGTCTCTCCTCAGACCCGCTGCTAAATCTCTGTATTTCTCGAGCTTATACATGTGATTTTCGTCCATACACGATGCCTACGGGACGGTCAGCTCAATCAGGATGAGCTGCCTTTTCTTCGTAGAGTGGAGAACTATGTCAGGTCACAGGCCGGTCTTCCGGATTAACTAAGGGTACCTTTCATGGCCCGGCAGATCAACCGCCAGTTACCAGTCCCTCGCAGAGTCTAGCATAGATGGAGCGAATGC